ACTGTTTAAAACTATTTGTTCTGGGTGTTGATAGTGGCCAACCATTTTTTTCTTTTTCAGAAAGTAATTTGTTTTGTCTGAATTTATGACACCTTATAGGCCATCAACTGTCCACATTGGGGTTTAGGAAATTAGAAGTCTGCTTATGCTGCTTGTCTACTAGTCTTAGGATAAGTTATAAATGTAAGTTTTTTGTGGTTTTTATCTGGTACAGCTCATAGGAACTCCAATCTTCCCAACTGTGAGAGGGCCTTGCTCCAGTGGCTGTTGGTGTGTACTTTAATGTTTCCATTAGTCCCTGGATCTGTAGACCTAGGTGACAGTGGGCTAGAGTAAAATTTTGGTTTTATTTAAACTAAGCCATACTGATGGCCTTTTTTATCTCAGATTTGGTCATGCAAGTATTAATATATCCTAAAATATTTTTATAGTCTTTCCATTGGTGGAAAAGATGTTGGTATAATTATTTTTAATGGACTGCTAAGATCTCAGCAGACATTTTTCTGAGATATTCTTGAGTGGGAGTCTGTGCAATACAAGGTGGATAGTATTTGCAAGGAAGAGTCTTTCATCTGTCCTGCTTCCACACTAGATATACTGCCAATTTAAGTAGATGTTAACCATAAGCATAACCATTTCAAGAATGAACGAGGTACTTTAAACTGTATGTGTTGAAACTAAATTAACAAGAAAACAGCTCTTTGATGTTCACCTAGTAAAATTAGATTAGAAGATAGAAACTGTTATGCACTTGTTCTGTACTGTTTCATCCCTTTTTCAAACACTGGCATTTTTGAAGGTGTATTTACAGCTAAGGATTAAGGATTGGCAGGAAGATTTGTGGACTACATCAACTAATGACACTACCTCCAAAGAGTTGCAAAAAGCTGTCCAAAGTTTCAGCACCATCTTTAAGCCTATGATTTTAGTGTGTTTCATGCCTAAGCACATGAGTTTAAATCTGAGATAGATGAACTATATGATTATCTTAAACTGATCTACAGGTAAATGCCAAAACTTATTGGTTTACTTATTTGTTGTTGTTTTTTTTTTGTTGTTTTTTTTGTATATGTTAACCAGGTGAAATGGAGTGAGGCATACCAGGATATGTGTGGTTTTACTCTTGGGAAGGAGGTTGAACAGTTCAATATTTCTTCTATAGGATTGGAGTGACCAGACATGCTACTGTAACTCTCATGGTCATGTGCTGGAATTAGCAGATATTCAACAATTTGGCCATCTCGCTGACCTGTTGATTTCAGAAGGTAACTGCATCCAGTAGAATTTGTTTTAGATGTTCAGTAACCTATTTAAATAGTATTGTGATTTTTGATTGCTTATTATTGTAGACTGCAACAGCTCTGCAAAGCAAGTTGCAAAACACAATCCATGGAACTGGCAGTGACCGGAAACCAATTGGAAGACTTTGGTCTGTGATGTAGAGGAGAGGGCAGGTGAGGAAATTATTATTAATATTACATGTAGTCATGAAATATTGTAAGTGTTACTATTATTGTTATTATTTTTTTTTTCAGTAGCAGACGCAAAGACAACAAAAAACAGAAGTGATATGGATGTCTTCGTCATATGGCATGGTATGTACACTAGACTTCTGTCAGTGTTGATTCTTTAAAAGTTGACGTATAATCCTTGTAATACAACTTTCTTTTTATGAATATATTTCAGACTCTGTCGATCCAGCAACAAAGAGGAGGGTGTTCAACATCATCCTGCTAGTCAGGATTCTTCAGGAGAAGCAGCGGATTATTGTGGCAGAGATGGCCAACCACTATAAATAATAATATAAAAAGTACTGGTATGTATTTGTATTTTTTGGCACATAAAGCATAAGGTTACCCAGTCCAAAGGATACTAATATATTTTAATGTTGTTGTGTTCTTCTTTTAAGATTCGGCATGTGGCCTAAATGAAGAGGGGTTAAAAGGTCTGTTGATCATCCTTCTCAGAAAGCAGCAAAATAACTGAGAAATAAACAACAATACAATGGTGCAATCTAGAGACCTGCAAGGTACCTGCAAGTTTTGGCTGGAGCAGTGAACAGACATTTTTTTTAAATAAAGCTCCAGCTGATGAGTATGACATTGACTGTGGATTTTCTTTTACTGTAATCCAGAAGAGGATGACCTTAACCCTGAATCTAAAGCATGTAATAAAATCTGTAAAAAAATAAATTTTCATCATCTATAACCAAATTGTTGTCTCTTTTTTTTTAAATACATAGATATGTACAGTATGTATGCATGCCTCTAAAATCAATCAGTGTTGTAAATTAAGAGCATTATTGTATGCCTAACTGCTTACAACATATAACAATTTGAGGAACTCTATATTAAAATAAAATTATAACATTAAATGACATCAAGAGCTTTTAAAATATCAATTTTATGATACATTTTTATGATAAATTTAATTTTTGCATATACTTGGCCATAAAATGTATATTATTATGGTCAACTGCTCAGATACCTACAGCCAATATGTGGCTGAGTCAGGCAATCAGACTTCTACCACTGGAAAAATTAACCTATGATTTACATCAAAGATCTGATGTATTGATTTGGTCCTCATGGATTTTTCTAAAAAAATATAAAATAATAATTTCCTTTTATTTTTGTCTTTACTTTGAAACATTTGTATTCATTTGTTAGAATGTCTAACAAAAAACTGCTGTACTTGTTGTGAGATAACAGTGCCACTGTTGTTATGCTGAAAATTAATAATAATCTTTGTATAATGTTTTATTGAATGCAAGATAAAAAATAAAAAAAATAAATATTTTCCCAGAGATGGATTGCGACTGGAAGGGCATCTGGTGCATAAAAACATGCTGGAAAAGTTAGCGGTTCATAGCACTGTGGCGACCCCTGGTTAATAAAGGGACTAAGCCAAAAAGAAAATTAATGAATGAAAATAAAATTTGTATTTTTGGTAGACATAAAACTTCACAGTAACTTATAAGTACAGCACAGAACTATTTTACTTCAAGTTTAGATAATTTAAAGGTTTGCATTTTTATTTTATTGGTTATTGACTATGTATTTTAATCATTTGGAGGTTTGAACTATTCACAACATTTGAAAGGATATCTTTTCGTCATTGTTACCTCATTTCTCACTATTTTCATGATTCTTACAATGCAGCAAATCTTACAACCATTTGATCATAAAGAAAATAATTAACAAATTAACCCACATCCAGGACAAAGACATTATGTGGTCATTATTAAACACAAGTTCATCCATTGTCATCAAAACATACTGTTACACAAACAGTTGAAGATTTAGAAAGTAAAAATAGTCAGATAAAGAGTGGTTGTCAAACAAATACATCTTGAAAAAGGTTATATTTATAAACATTTACATATTTTAAAAGAGCTTTTGTCCATATTTCAAATAAAGTGAAAACAATTAAACATCACATGATGACCATTAATGAAACACACTTCCAGAATTCTGAACTCATAATATTTGTGATGAACATAGATTACTATTGCTAATAACTTGTGATTAAAGAGGATACTAATGTTTAGCTTATTTTCCAGCTTATTTTTTTTTACCACAACTGTACATGTGACAATACAATTTCTTGTCCATGTTGAAGATAATACATCTACATAGGTTAACTGCCCTTTTACTCAAAGGGGATGAGTAGAGCCCCGTAGAAAAGGAAAAAGTATTCACATTTCAAACGAGAAATGAGTGAGAGAATATCAGCAAGACTATTACCTATGCTATGTTCAATAAATAATATTGGATATAATAGTCTGATATATACTGATCAAGTCAATAAAAGCTGTTTTAAAAAAATACTCATTGTAAAATAACAAATTTATGCCTGGCTTTCATATATGTCATAAATATATGCACAATGACCTTATTCAGATAGTCTTTAGTTCATTAAAAATTGTATTTATTCCATTTTATTAAAAAAAAAGGCTTTAAACTACATTACCCACAATCCTTTGTCACTGTATAGGAGGGACGGGAAAGACATGGCGGTACAAAATGTAGTTCATTGAAAGGTGTAGTTAGGGTTAAGTTTAGGGTTACGATCTTGGTTAATCGGTAACTATTTGAAACACAGCGATAACTCATTGATAAAGGACACTGTTAGTAAAGTGGCAAAGTTAGCAAAACATAGTTAGCAACACGAAGGATCTTTTAATTTGGTTTTGAAGTTATAGTCCAATCACAACGTCGCAATCTACGTCACACTTTGTCTCTATTTGGTAATCTTCCGGCTGAAGGTAGATTATTATAACCTTATAATATAACTTAAATATCAAAATCTGTATTAATATTACTATTAATAATATTATTATACTGATGTGCAAAATGATCATAGTAAAACCAGATCATAGGCAGTATACAAAATTTGAAACGAATAATAAAATAAAAGTTTCATGTTTGAAAACATTTTCAGCATTTCCTGTAACTAAACCCTGCATCATGTAGATATACAAATATAAATATATGTCAAACTTAAATGACAAATATAGTGCCCATTAAATAGTAAAAATAGTAGTTCATTGTAAATGAGTATGCAAATAAACACAATACATTTTTAATGAAACATTTATAATTTATTTATAATGCCACAAAAAACAAAAATCACGCAAACATGCAAATATATATATTTTATAACAGTTTTTAATGCAATAACATATTACCATACATATATAAATGATTAAAAACTATTATAATTGAAGGAAATGTATATTTTTTATTATTATTATATTTATTTTGTGATATTTATTCATGTCATACATCTGTTATGTCAAGCTCAAGTAAAACTGCACTGCAAAAAAATATTTTCAAATGATGCCTTTGGAAATGCCATTATAATAAACAGCTTGCACAACAACAACAAGTCAAGTTCATCACAAATGCAAATTATGTTTATAATAACAACTTTTTGAACTTAAACATCAAAAGTATTTACTGAAGAATAGCAAAAACAATTTATACAAAACACTGAGAACCAAAGTGTGCTTGGTGAGTCCAGGTGTTTATGCTGACTAGACTGTCATATTGCAATCCGGTTAGCATGAGGAGACTTGTGCGTAAAGTGTCAGGAATTCCTGGAGGGCTCCCAGGTGTTATTCCAGGTCTTGCCACTGTAAAGTATTAGAAGTGCACAATATCATTACTGAACAAAGAATGATGGTTAGGTTTCATTTAGAAAGTCCAGGGATATTTATTTATATATGTAAAGTGTCATTAATAATAATAGGTTAAACATTTCTAGCATGTTTCCATGTATTCCAAGTAGATCTGTCAGTTCTACACTCAGATATCAGGATAGTGACTGCACTTCTCATTATGAAAACCCTTATCCTTCTCAAACATTTTTATCACCACTGATGTCCACTGCTGTAGTTTTCATTGAAGGGAATGCTGACACAAATTCCAGCATGTCTTTTTAAATAGCAGAATATGGGTATTATTGGGCCAAAACCTTAAAAAATATAAGATGCAAGATTTGAATCTTGATGAACATTGTTAATTTACTTCTTGCAATTTAACACACACATCTCATGTTTGACTCATCAATTATATGAAAACTACAACAGCATACTGTGCTCCACCCTAAAAATATTTCTAAATTATAACAAGCTTATTGCTTTAAATGGCTAAACATTTATTGTATGCCTGCATGATTCACTGCTATTACTGTAACCCATTACACTCTTAACCCAAACTAGTTGACTTTATTAGAAAACTGCATAGAAACCTGTTGCCTTAAACCCTTTATGTTTTTACACAACTAAACTAAAACAGCCCTCATCAACTAAAACATTGTTTTTACAATGTAGTGAAACTAAACAGCCCTCTTTAAATTAACTTAGAACCTTTACAATCTTCTTGGACTTACAGTAATATTTTAATTCAAGTACGGCTGTTAAGTTGTACCTTGTATAAAATGTAAGGGGTTTCTATACAATTTACTAGTAAAGTCAACTAGATTGGGTTAAAGGAATAGTTCACTATTTACTCTCCCTCAAGTGGTTGTAAACCTTTTTTAAAAACTTCCAAGTTACTTTGTGTTGAACATAAAATAGGTTTTTTGAAGAAAGCTGAAAAGCTGAAACCATTGACATATATAGTGGGAAAAAACAAATACTATGGAAGTTAATGTTTGCAGGTTTTCATCTTTCTTTAAAATATATATTTTAGTGTTTAACTGAAGAAAGCAACTCAGACATATTTGGAACAAGTGAAGTATGAGTCATTAATGACAGAATTTTCATTTTTGGATGAATCTCTTTAAGAGTATACTGAAAGAAATGTCCTACTCAATGTAGCTAACTTCAGCTGCATGTGTAGCCCCATGAGTACTTATCTAGAAATCTAAACAATGATCACATCAGTCCCATTTTAGGCCCTTTATATCATATTGACCACAGAATAGACTACTTAGTGTTGCAATAAAATATTTTTTTTTTATAAAACTATGACTTACCACACAATACAAGACAAACAGTGAATTTTCAGCTCTGCCTTTGCTGTACACAAGACGAGGTTCCAGCTTCAACACTGATCTTGAGTGGGGCAGTTGTGCAGCTCTGTGAGGTTGTGACTGTTCAGATGCAGTGCTGTGAAGAGTTCTTTGTTTAAAGAAAGTACATTCTTTTTAAAATCTGTACATATTAACAAAGAAAATACAATGATTTTAATTAATGATTAATTCTGAACAAAAACCTTACCCTTAGTCAAGATGAATTCATATGTCAAAAGTTTCTGCATCTGAAATGAATAAAAACAGATGTGACATTAGTTAAACCCACTTAACTACTAGATACATCAGTACTGCATTAAGCAGTTGTAAAGTAATGTAAGTGTAGTCCAAAATGATCCTTAATCTGTTTAAGATAATGATTTAAAAAAATGTTGCTTGTGTTAAAAACAATCCAGCCACTTGTAATACATATGATCAATGTTAAATTTCTGAGAAGGTGCAAGGTAATCCATGAGTTTTACCATTACCATCATGACTGACATAATATTTGACAATGAAGACAGCTTGTTGTGCCTCTTTACCACAATTTAGAGATGATAGATTCTTTCTTTTATTAAATAAATTGGTAAAGGCCAAATTATACTGGTAATAGTGTATGATATTCATTATGTGACATACATCAGCTTAAGTTACACTTGAGCTTTTGTTATGCTTCAAATACTTTTACTTGAAATGGGTAAATTTACTACTGAAATAAGGGCATAATCAATTACATGCCCAGCAGTTTTGCTTTTCTCAACAGACTTATACCATATTATAAAAAATAAATAATAAAAAATATATACAGTTTATATATATATATATATATATATATATATATATATATATATATATATATATATGTGTGTGTGTGTGTGTGTGTGTGTGTGTGTGTGTGTGTGTGTGTGTGTGTGTGTGTGTGTGTGTGTGTGTTTTAAGGCATGGAAAATAATTGTTTTTACAATGTAGCCTTTAAACCTTTGGAAACACTTGATTTGCTTTAATATTGAAACAATTATGAATACATTTGTATTATTAGAGTTGTATATTGCATATTATATATAGATTTTGCACGAATTCTATTGTGGAAAACAACAATCTGGTAACACTGTTCCTCATCTTAAAATGTATATATTCTTCTAAGCTATGCATGACCAACGTTATATGTGAAGAAAAAGTATTTTTTTTAATAAATGAACGATGTAATTAGATAACGTCGCTAGTTTACAGTACATGCTTTATCAACAAATCGTCTTTATTTGTTTACTTTTTACTTACCTTGTGGAAAACCGCAGTGAACCTTGGGATCGCAATGAACCTTGGGATCGCGACCATAGACTGTAAAAAATAGATCGCCACATACAATGACCCGAACATCAATAAATCATTTAAAATGAAAAAGATCAGCCAAAAACATTTTTTAAACTAAGTACTTGAAATGTAATATTTTTTAAGTAAAAAAATAATAAATAATATGAATGAATCAAAGTTTTATTAGGCATAGTTACCCTAAACTGGGCAACCGAGTATAATTTCACTCATTAAATTTGAAGTAAATGATAACATATTTATAAACACCAACTAATCTCCAATAAAATACATTATGCAGCATTAACACACTATTTAATGTTGACAGTTGAACTCATCTGAGAACTCAGCGCTGATGCAGTTTGACCAATAGCAGAGCGGCGTTAAACTCACCGTGAAGGGATGTCACGTGGACCGAAGTTTATTCATACAGTAGTTTCGACCCAGTTTACAGACGCTTTTCATGAACAAAATAAAAATGACATATTTTTAAAATAAGAAAACTGCGATAATAGGCGTAAATCAGGTTTTAAAAATTGCGTTGACATCTATTGGTAATTATACGAGCCTCCAGCGTCTCCCTATGACGCCTCAGGCTCAGGTACATATTCTATAGGGAATCCCTGCACGTCTAAATATGACGCTAAAGGGGTACCCTGTGCGTCAATAACCTACGCCGAGGGTTCCTGACCAAGCGTCAGTATATGACGAGTTGGGAGTGAGAACGTGTTGTTTGTATGGTAAAGGACAATGCACATTGATTTGAAACTTTTAATTGCATTTTTATGTCCTGTAAATAATAAAAGTTGAATCAGATTAATAAAATCGAATCTGAATACCTGCAAACGGGGCCACAGTTACTTTTTTTTTTCACTGACTGGCATGACTGGCAAACGCGTCAGAAAAAAAACTGCTGAATCTCTGCAAATATTTGGTTAACTTATAAAACAAATGTATGGTTTAGTGATGTTAGTAATGCATAGAAAAATGCAAAGCAGAATTATTAAAGTTATTATTTCATTGATCTGAACATAACCATTTATAATATAATTACTAACCCGTCGTCTAAAATATTAAAATAATAAAATATTCTATTATTTTATTCGTGGCTAGAGCTTGATTAAATTGATTAACAAGCCATGTGCTTTTGTTTGTTTGTTCTCGGTACTGGGTATACGCAAAACATTTTCTAAAATGTCAAGCAGTATTTGTCTATAGCTTTAATTAATTCAAAATATTAAAAATAACAATAATAAAATTATAAAAATACAAAGCTAAATAGAGCAGCATTTTGCTAATTATAATAGTCCTTTATATTTATATACATGTGTTTGCATATTCGTTATTTCACTTGATGCATTCGTTATTTAATGTTTGAATACTGAAATAAAAAGCCATCGTTTAAAAGGTTATTTCACCATCAAAATGTAGCCTGTTATATGTGTCATTAACGTTTTATATAAAACTGCTGTGCAGTGTAAATGGGACCTTAATACAGTTTAAAGCGAAGTTGTCTGTAAGGATGATGGGCATCGCATGTCTATTGTTGTGGCTCGCGTTGTGAATATTAGAAAATAACTGTCGGGTGAAGGCTTTATGGTCGTGCGGAATTGTCTGCTGCTGTCATGGCTCAGCAGGCAACACCCTATTCAGCTAGGTGTTTTTATGTACAAATTCGTTTTGGCGAATGCTAGAGCGTAATAGAGATATTTTAAATAACAAGTAGTTCAGTCCAGAAGTTGCTGTGCATAGAAACATTCATTTTCATAAGGCCCCATATGCGGTTTGGTTTTAAAACGCATAGGTTTTGCTACGGTTACGCCATCCGTCCTCGGGAGTTTTGGATTTTGTGTAACCATGTTTGTGGAAAACACTTGAGGGTGGAGACACACCCCTTCCCCCATCTCATAACCAAAAGCTTGTCTTTCAGGTGTTAATGGGCATCAGTGAGACCGAAATCATGTCGCATTTCCACTGTCGGCCTATAGCTCGCAGCGCGTAACGCAAACCCAGCCCCCAGAACGTCCCCCGACTGTTGGCATCGTGCATCCGTTAATAACTCGGTAGAAAATGTATTTTATAACATCCTCATTTAGACACAGTCAAACATTCAGCCCAAATGCACTGGAGAGACCTGAAACGTGTTCCTAAAAATGCTCTGTTTGCACGATTTGATTATTATCATCATATCCAAATACTTTATAAATAATATTCTAAACCTTCTCTGGTGTTTATTGTTTTTAGAAAATATCTAAAATCTTTTAAAAGAAAATATCTTGTAAAATAAAAGTTTGATTTGGCTTTAACGGTTTTATTTATGTATAGGCCTACCTAAACTGTTATAGCTTGCTTTTGCTTGTTTTATATTGGTTTGTTTATTTAATGCGATTTTATTATATCCGATAATGTAATTCTTTAAATTATATTTCAATGTGGCTTAGGCTTATCAAGATATGACACTTGTTTTGAGTCTACAAAAGGTAATTTGTAAAGTTTTATGTCTTTTTGTTGTATTCATATGGTGTATTATTTGCAAAATAAATAACAAAAAGAAAGAAGCCGCTAGCAGCATCAACAGAGCTGTGAAGAGAGTGCTCTTTTGCTCAGTCTCTCACACACAACCTTTATGTCTACTGTGTCTTTAATATGGTGTGTAGATTATTATGGGTTATTGAAACATCAAGGGGGACGCAGCAAAATCACTTATAAATTAAAATTGTATTATTCTATGCAACAGCCTTGCATTTAAAACGGAAACATAAGGGCGATTATAAGCAAAAAGACCTCAGTCTATAAGTCTAGATGTTTTCTTTTCTTTTCCTTTTTTATTTATTTGTTTATGTGTTTGGCTAGTGTAACTTAAAAAAAAACTAGTGTAATTACGGCAAGCCATCTTTCCCAAACTCGGGGCAAATTCCGCCTTTCCTTTCACTCCGTCCCGAAGCCCCAGCTGGCCCTCCTGCCATCCAATGCGTAAAACATATGCTGGATAAGTTGACGGTTCATTCCGCTGTGGCGATCACAGACTAATAAAGGGACTAAACCGAAAAGAAAATGAATGAAGAATGAATGAATAAATTAATAATAATAAAATAAAAATAAGGTAATAATAAACACAAATGCCGCGTAAGCGGCCTTTTTTTTTTAGAGATGGTACATTTGAATTGCCTCTTCCCACTTCCCCCACCTCGAAATTGAAAGTTGCAAAGAGAACTATAGCTCATTTACACCTTGATGTCTTAGCCTCAATAGCAAAGATCATAGCCCATTTACACATCAACACAGTGCAAGTTTAGCGGAAGAATGTCAAATCAGAATCACGCAGATGAAGCACACCAGCTACTACTATGAAACTATTAAAATTGTTTTGTCATAAATTTGCTTATTTGCAGCAGCTTTTTTTCGCGCAACAGAAATGCGGCGTTGGGAAGCCGTCAATAAATAAAAACAGGGTCAATAGTGAAATCGGCTTTTTATTGTATCCCTATTACCTATATCAATGCATTGAAGGCCTTTTATGGTGTCATCTCGATAGAATAGCCTAAGTTATAAATAATTTAAAGAACAAAGTTATAACAACTCACATTACATAAATAAACAATTAAAAATATGTTTGTTGTCTATTTAATTGCCCTCGTGATGATGGTGTGCTTTATCATTATGTGCGTTTTACTTATAACTAACCTGATTCAAATGATGGATCTGCGACAGAGAAACTAGGGGGTTTGGGGGAACATGCATCACTATATCCTTTTTTTCCCCAAACTGTGCATAGTTCAGCTGCAAGTTACTGTATGTCTTTTTTTAGAAAAGCACCCCATGTCCGCTAGTGCCGCGCGCCTCTTTCTCTGGGCAAAAATGAGTTGATTTTTAAAATAATAAATATATAGTTTAATTAAATTTTCAGCAAAAGAGACATTTATTTCATATTTCACTATGCATTTCATCTGATCTTTATAGCTTAATTAAACACATATTGTCAAAACCCACACATAGGCCTATTGTATGAAAATGAAAAGGGCATTTTTTGTTATTATTACACTACTATTTGTTATTTGTTGCCTAGGCTATTTTCACATTTGAGGTGCTTTATTGGCATGACAAGTAACTGTACATTCGTTTTGCCAAAGCAGTGCGCATTTCACAAACAAGACAGTGCAAAAAGGGCAGTAGTGCAAACAAATATGAAAATAACATATAATAAAAAAATGATTAATAAAAATAAAAATATAATAATAAAAATAAAAATAGATTTTTGATAACATTAAACAGGATAAAGGTAATAATAGTAGCCTATTATCAAAAGTAAGTCCACATAAAGAGTTCCAGTATTTGTGTGTTGGAGACAGGAGCGGGTATTGTTGGGTGAACACACAGCAGCACACACACTCCCCCAGTAAGATGAGTTCTGTTCGACAGGGACTCAAAGTTGTTTTGTATGTGTTGGATTATCGGGTAGAATTTCTCCCGGATCTCGGAGTTTTTAGTGCACTCAGGATATGCAGCTCCGTCTCAATCAGCTGCTGAGGGCACAGCCGCTTCTCCACCGGCAGCCATTTTTTTTTGTGCCGGCCCGTCTTTACGGCTGGCTGATGTCCGCTGCCCGCTTCTAACATGTTATAAAATACTGCAAATCAAGCTGTCGGTATCTCCCCGCGGTTGAAATTGTTCGTTATTCGGGAAAAAAGAAGAATAAATATCAGCGCGCAGTAGTTGCTTTCTAGATTATTTAGGCCTATATTCAGCTGTTTCAATCTTGCAATTCTGATAATTAGAGATAATGTCTGTTTTTATCAACTTGTCTGTCATTTATATCTCATTTGCTACTTATTTTATTAATTTGTTGATGTTAATACACTACATAGTCTTGTATATGCATATCTAAAATCCTTTGGCATTCAAATTTGCTTTGAACTTGAAAGAGAGAAAGAATCGGATTTTACCTGTCAGAGCACATTGCATATGCTTTTTTTGAAATAACATTTATTTAACAAATATTTTAGCACATCAAAAGTAATTAAATTACCTGTCTTTTGATTAAAACCTTTATGCAAAAAGATCAGAAAAAAGGCAATATGCGACACATGACATGCATCGCTCTCATGCCACGTTTTGAGGATAAATTCGCTTTTAGGTGCTGCTTGGAATAAAATAAAACTATTAAAAAGCACATTAAAGACTACTCTTAAAATAAACATTCATAAAGGAGTATCTTATGAAAAAACACCAATTGACGGGCTCTGCTTTCGGTTTTAAAAGAATCAAGCAGCTTTAAAAATATAATTTGCTGAAGAGAAATGACAGGGAAAAAAAGATTGAACATATCGGGACTGTCAAAAGAACATTCCTCTTTGATATATTCTTTCGACTCCGACACATCAGCTAAGATTATGAACAACGGAGTGTCTCTCCTGCTTCAGTGGCGTGTCCAGCTGGTTATAAACGAGGAGGCGGAGAGAATGCGCTGCTTAGTTTCGGCTCGATATATTTAAATAAAAACTAACAACGAGCTGCTTATAACGCTCAAAAAGTTAAACTCAAATGCACAACCCTTGTTGGTTGCACCTGCGGGATGCACAATGAACCTAACGCGCCATAATTTTAATTCTATATTCGTGAAGAATGAGCCAACCGCATATGCTTAGTCCTGTTGGTCGGGACTCTGCTTTATAACTTATTAGTTTATTACAATAATCACACTTAGCTTTGCCATTGTTCTTCACCACATAGCCACTCAACACATCTTGCGGTCCATCTTTAATGTTTAGATTATTGAAGGTGCTATTGACGTTTTGAGAAAAAAATTAATAGTACTGAAACTAAATTATTAAAAATAAACTTGCGGGACTTCATTTATGTCCTGCGGCAACATTATTTTTATTACATTTTAAGTGATCTGCTTGAGGTAGGTCACGTTTATCACTGGTAAGTTTTAGCCTAATTTTACATCAATAACATAAAGTGCATTGTCCTTTACCATACAAAAAAAAAAAAAAACATTATTATACACCAGTTGCCTGTAGCCTATAAAAAGGCCGCAAATATTTTTAAATGCATTAAAAGGCAAGCACATATCTTAGCCTTAGTTTGTTCACACTCTGCCTGTATTAACATAAATGCTGTATTTTAATATAGCCAATTTTGATTAATTAGCTTTAACTGACAGCCTTTTCTTCTTTTTCCGCGGTTATGCGGCATTATATTTCACACGCATATGCAAGGTGACTGAATATGAAATTAAAATACAAAACATACTGAGCCATTAGTAAAAAAACAAAACAAAACAACAGTTATACTTTAAAGCAGAACATTGACGTTTTGAAACAAAAAAACGGAACTGAAACTAAATTATTAAAAATAAACCTGCCAGACTTATTTATGTCCTACTTTCATTATTCATTTATTTTTATTATTCGTTTATTATTATGTACTATAATTGAAACATAAAATGAGATCGTAAATATAATCAACAACGAAAATGTAAATAAAAACGTAAATTAAAAATATAAATGAACATGTCTAGTCTTAGTTCTATCAAAATAGCAAACACTATATCTCTCTATATTTAGACTAAAAGACTGCTTTATTTATTTAAGACTAATTATTTGTACTGAATGTTTGTGCTTTCATTTTAGTTGTCTTTCATTTCTTCAATTCTATTTTCCAAAACGAATCCTCTTTGCACTTAATAAGTTTACAATAAACCAGGAAAAAAAAAAATTAAATGTAAGTTGAGGTGATCGCAAGTTCACAACTGTGAGGTGATGTGCTCTACCGGCTGGATAATCTATATTATTTTGCTGTTTTTCATATGCGCACGTTTAAGATTTGAGATTATAACATTGCCATGATAGTCAAAGAAATCAAAACATTATTTTCACCCCAACGCAATTTAATCGGGCACTGAAGGCTAATAACTTAATTCTTATATTTGCTTTTTGACTTCTCACCATGTATCTTTTCTACAGCATAGTATAGTGTAAGAGCATGTCTATTACCAGAAAAACTAATTAAAATTATATTTTAATTGAACACATCACATCACATACAGTAAGCTACGCCTACAGAACAGTCTGTTTAGCATTGTGAAAAGGCAAAGCTGAATATCTGTGGTTAAAGTGCCACCCAGCGGTCAAATGCTGCTGGCGCATCAAGTACTGCCGTCGCCGCGGCATGAATGGCGGCACAAGGAACACATTGAAGTAGTAACATCTGTACCTGGGGCCTGTTTCAGTAAGGAGGTTCAAACAACTCAGAGTTTAAACGTGAACTCTGAGTTGATTTACAGAGAGATTAAAAATCAAGAGTTTTCGGTTTCAGAACAGCTGATCTGAGTTGGGTCAATCAACTTCGAGTAGACCAACTTACGCCTGTTTCACACCGCAAGCGTCAGCGGCGCGTGAGCAGAGCGTGAGCAGCGCGTGTGTTTTCGGCGTCCATGTTAACAGATTAGAGCTTTCATACCGCACGCAGCAGCAGCGCGTCAGAGCGAGGCGTGAGCGTCGCCGAAGCAGCAGTGCAGCGATAGTTTCGGCGCTGGGTCTATTTTTGACGCGCTGCTCACGCTCAATTAAAGTGACAGTGCATTGACAACGACCAAAACACATTGAATGACAGTAAAAAGTAGCAATTTTACCCAATAAATGCGTTAATAATGTCAAATGGTTTATATATAGTCATTCAAATTTACTTAAAACGATTTAAAACGGCAACAAACATTTATTTAGGTCCGAACTACAAAATCAAATGTAAAACAATATTAGTATCAGTTGCACACTAGTGTTGTAGGAGAGGGGAAATAGAATATTTACGGGAATTGTAGTCCATAGCGAAGTGTATTGTGGGTAGTGTAGTTCGACACGCATGCTGGATGATGTGAGCTCGCTGTGTTCTGTGCAGCGGAGCAGAGGAAGAAAGTTTTAATCGGCTTTGTTTTATGTTCACTCGAGTTATTCCTACCGGGAGCTGCTTGCACAAATTGCACTCTGAATCTGACAACACAAAAATAAGTAAAAGAATGGCATGCATTAATTACTTTTGTCCGTCTCATCATCTGCACGAGCATGAATTAACGAGCTGTTATTCTGCCGCTGGACATCACTGAAGCGGAGAAATTAATACTAGTTTGATCATGTATAAATATCATTATAACTATATTGTATAAATATGATTATAACTAGGTCTACAGCAACCTGATAATCAAAAAACAAATGATATGATATCACAGGTGATTGTCTTCTGATTGTAGACACTTCTCATATAAGTTAGCTTTAGAAGCATACAGTACTATTTGATCTATAAAATTTGTAAAATAAATATTTGCAGGTTAACGAAACAGCATAGGTGGGGCCTTGGTGCAGATGAAAAGTTTAAAAAGTGTATTTGTATATAGAGAGACATGGGTAACTACATAGAATAGACAGAGATAGGTTGATCTCAGCAGCAGCTGCCGAAGAACTGCGCGCTGCAGACGCAGCTGGTGTGAAAGGCAAACGCCTGCGTGCTGCTACTGCTCGACAAACGCGCTGCTCACGCTCTGCTCACGCGCCGCTGACGCTTGCGGTGTGAAACAGGCGTTAGAGTTAAGCGCGCACACCGTGACTTTAAAAAGGCATTATCAATGGAGTGCAGACATTACGAGTGACTACACTCAAAAAAATGAACTTTCCCTATTGTTAATTTTACTCTACCCATCCTTGTTCACATTACATAAAAAATAAAAGTAATTGAATTAACACAAGTTAACTATGTTATTTCTACAAAAATGTAGTACTGTAGGCTTTACTTAATAAGGGTTTGACTGGCCAACTTAACATTGTGGAGTAAATCGCAAAACCCTCCTAAGTTTGGACATTTGCGGATACCGTACCTGCTTACCTGGAGGCGGAGCAACGGAACTGAACGGAAGACAGACGAGAGCGCGAAGCACATTGAGGAGAAGATGGTGGCTTTGCCAGGTACAAGTATTTTCATAACGCTTTACTGGTAAATATCGCCAGGAAAAGTTATGTTAATGTTCACAGAATTATGTTAATTTATTTTATCAAGTTATTTCGGAGTCCTTTGAGTTTTAGCGTTTTTTTAACCTGTTGAACTCACTCGTGTTTCTCAACGCAATTATGTGGCAGTGCAAGGACTGCAAAATAACAGTCACGACTAGATCACAGTTGTTGAAACACTATAGATTAGTGCATAGACATTATGGTCGCGGTATTCGTTTTCCATGCACATATTCTGAGTGTCCCTGTAGATTTAAAACATGGAATGCGCTACACAGCCATCTAAATCGTAGCCATGCAAAGGAGAACACGGGGTTACCTGCAAGTGTAACGCTAACCACGTTCAATTGCCACGTGTGTCCTTGCAGCAATATAGGGTCAGAACGTGAGTATTTTAGTCACATCCATAACCACCTTAAAAACAGCGAGACAGTGCATTGTATGTTTAAGCACTGCTCTTTTCAGACAAATGTGTATGGCACATTTAAGTCCCATAAGAATAGAAAGCACAATTTTTATTCTCATCAGGACTTCAAACCAGGGGTTATTATAGAAAGTGGTAATGTTACTCAGGAATTAAATGAAGATCTATTGCCAGCTGAAGAGGAGGATGTTGATGTTTCAGGTAGTGTGGAAGTGGAAACAGAAGTACAAGATTTGTCCAAGACAATAGAGCTCAAATTTGCATCCATTTTGCTAAAACTTGAAAATTATTTTCATGTTCCTAGTAATGCAATTGATGAACTCATCACAGATTTGCACTATTTGATCAGTTCTGCATCAGGATCCGTATCAACAAAAGTTGTTCTTGATACTTTTCAGAAACATAATCTTTATGTAGATCAGCTTATCATAAAAGAGCTTATCAGTTCTTTGTCATCATCCAACCCTCTGTTAAAAGCTACTTCAAATGATGGTCCTTTGGCCACTGCTTTCAAGCGCATGAAATTTTACAGGGAAAATTTTGAGATAATTGAACCTGTTGAAATAATTCTTCAGTCTGAAAAAAATAGATCTTTCCAATACATACCCATCTTAAAATCATTACAACAGCTGCTTAATCAGAAAGAGATACTTAATAAAGTTGTTGGTGGTCATACAGGACAGAAAATCATAAATGATGGATTTTACAGATCTTTTAAAGATGGTCAACACTTTAAAGATAATGAGTTTCTCTCAGGAACTGAACTCAGACTCTCCTTGTGTCTGTACATTGATGACTTTGAGCTGTGCAATCCATTAGGAACGTCACGCAAAAAGCATAAGATCTGTGCAGTTTATTGGATTTTAGGTAACTTGCCACCAGGGAGTAGTTCATTGTTGTCCTCAATTTATCTCGCTCTGTTATGTAAAAGTGATGATGTAAAGGCCTATGGCTATAGAAAAATTTTTGAGCCTCTTGTGAACGATCTCATCACTTTAGAGCAGCAGGGTGTGTTTGTTAATGACTTGAAAACATTTATCAGAGGAACAGTGCAGTATGTTGTTGCAGACAGTCTTGGTGCACATTCTTTAGCTGGATTTGTTGAAAACTTTTCAGGGGAATATTTTTGTAGGTTTTGCACTGCTACACGCACAGATATTCAGTCTAAAGAGGTCAGAGATGGCGCTTTTCCTCTCAGATCTGAAGAGCAGCATGATGTACATGTAGCAGATGCATGTAAGAAAGGAGAAGCATGTTGTGGTGTAAAAACTGCATGTGCTTTATCTGAGAACCTCTCCTACTTTAAAGTTACTGCAGGTTTTCCCCCAGATGTGGCCCATGATCTCCTAGAAGGTATAGTGCCTGTTGAGTTGGCTGGATGCATTGACATATTTATAAAAAAGAAATATTTCACCTTTGATCAACTTAACAAACTGATTCAGGAATTCCCATTCAAGTGGGGGAGATAAAACCAATCGTCCTCATGTGCTTCCACTCACTTTTTCAAGGAAAAAAACTATTGGGGGAAATGCTCATGAGAATTGGTGTTTGCTGCGGCTAATTCCATTAATTGTTGGAAAACTTATACCTCAGGATGAACCTGCTTGGGAACTCATTCTTCTCCTGAAAGACATTGTTGAACTTGTTGTGTGTCCTGTGCACACTAGCGAGTCTGTTGCATACTTGGAGAGCAAAATATCCGAACACCGCAATCGGTTCAAAGTACTTTTTCCAGAAAGAAAGCTTTTGCCAAAACATCACTTTCTGGAACATTATCCAGCGATGATCCATCTATTTGGTCCACCTGTTTCATTCTGGACAATGAGGTTTGAAGCCAAGCACAGTTTTTTTAAACAAGTGGCTAGGCACACTAACTGTTTCAAAAATATCACCAAGACTTTGGCCAGGAAACATCAGCTCATGGTTGGTCAATTTATGCAGTCATCCCAGTGCGATGAATTACCTGTAGAGGTTACACGCATTTCAACTGTCCCTGTTGATATTCTCCAGGAAGACATTGCTTACACTTTTAACCAAAGATACCCGAACACTTCTGCTATTAATTTAGCTCAGACAGTATTTTCTGATGGCATAAAGTACACAAAGGGCATGATTATTGTGCATGGAACAATTAGTGGGCTGCCTGATTTTGCAGAAATAGTGCAGATTTGTGTTTTGAAAGATGGAATTGCTTTTATAGCAAAACAGTTAGGTTCTTGGTACAATGAGCACTATCGATCCTTTGAATTGGATATTCATCCAAGGAATGTTTCATTTATAGAGCTGAATGAATTAGCAGACCGTTATCCTCTCTGTGATTATAAAGTTGGTGCTATCCGTATGGTTACCTTGAAAAGATACATACACGCTGCTTGACCAGTTTTCTTTTTCTCTTACAGAGTGATTGATCAAACAGAGAAAATGACTGATCCAGCAAAGTTGAAAATTGTTCTAGGAGACAGTGATTCATTTAAATTGACGCTGCCATCTGGAATACCCAATTCTATTGCAGATTTTAAATCTGAGATCAGGAAACAATGTGGTGTCACAGGAGATTTTAGACTGCAGTATCTTGATATGGACTTTGATGATTTCTTAAATCTTACCTCAACAGTGGATCTCCAGGACAAAGGAACAGTTAAAGTCATAGCACAAAGTGCATATGATGCCTGTTCTCTTTCTTCTGCTGACACTGATATACGCTCCTCAACTTCCTCATCACCATCTTGCCTGCCAGTTTCTCCAGCAACATCAGATGTTGCTTCTGCCTCAACTTCTGAGCTGTCTTCGTCCACAAAGCTGAGATGTGAAACCTGGCCAACTAACTTTCCGATCCCTACGTTTCCTTATGAGATAGAGCTGGAACTGCAGAAAGCCCACGAAGAGTTCTTGAATGACGGTACTTTACTTGACATAGACTCAAAACCCAAACTAAAATCAGAAATTATGAAATCCTTGGCTGCAGAAGTAGTGAAATACAAAGTGTACCCTAGGACTGAAGAATACGAAGAGGTTGCGAAGGCGCTGATTACAAAGCATCCATGTCTACAGGAAAAAGGATCAGTTGGTGGGTTCTATGGCTGGAAGATCAGTCTACAGTGGAAGATGGCAAACTATCGGCGTACACTGCGAGCAGCTGGCTGTTCTGAAGTAAAGATAAATTCTTTAAAACACAAACATGGTGAAACTACAAATCCAAACCAAGTCAAAAAGCCAAAGAAGGCTGAAGTAAATTTTTACCCTGATTATCCAGCTGGAGAGAACACACAAAGCCTAGAAGAAGAGCGACTGGCATTGCTGTCTGAGTTTCAGAAAAGGGACAACCATCAAATTATTAAAAACAAAATGGAAAAAACTTTTATCTACAGAAGACATGAATTGATTGTAGAGATGCCCTTCATTGTTGACTTCAAAAGCAGATGGCCAGCTCTGTTTTGTGAAAATGAGGTAAATATAATGTAATAACTTTGTTTCTTTAAAAGTTTTTAAATGCTTTAAGTGCTTTTTTCATGTCCACGCACAGTTAGCCTAAATGCTTTTGTGTTCAAATGTCAATGAATATATTTTTAAACATGAAAGATATCCTTACTATAATCTTGTGTCCTAAATCTACAGATTGCTGCGGAATTCAGTCGAATCACTACTGTCCCGCTACTTCAGACATTTATGTCAAAACTGGATGGTTACACCAGCAAGCTGGCCAGCATCTACCGTAAAAAAGGAGGAATTGCAGGGCGTAAAATTTGGAAACTGATGGCTACTATCGACGAGGTTTGTTATATGTATTTAAGATGCTTGTAAATAATTTTCACTTTAGTATGGTGTTTTTTCATTGTTTATCCATAATGTCTCTCTTCTACAGAATGACACCATCTCAACTCGGAGGGCTTGTATTCTCAGAGCACTTTCTGTCTACCTTAATGAAGACTATGAAAACCTCATGAAGGAGTATACAGTAAGTGTTCTCAGGCAGTAAATATTTAAAGTACCGCCACATAAATTCATGTAATATAGTCAAGGAATATCAATACACAAAGTATATTTAACTTAGGGTTGCCAAAAGTATTAACTTTGGTACCAGTCAGTACTGAAATTAAAAGATTGTAATGATGATAGCATTTCCTGGGGGAATTTTGAGCACAGTTGAGCAGATTCTCAAGCAGTTGATTGACCACAGTGTTCACATGCTCAACACATGATTCTGATTGGCTATAATATTGTTTCACATTAGCTGTTTCCATCCAAAAATGCGAATGAGCTTTATGCGCAAAACTGGATTATCGCATGAAAAATGTGCAAATAAAGCAACATTTCCATCCAACAAGTCAAAGTGAACAAAATCGTCACTTCCTAATTAACTTGCGCCAAAAATCAACAGGAAAAACAGAATTTGCTGCAGTAGGAGAAGCTGCGTCAACCTGTTCTTAACCTGATAAATGACTTGCGCCTCAGAAGGCAATCCTGACACGCAGTGAACATGCGGTGGCGTTTAAAGGCATCAGACGCAGAGCACAGACGGTCTTGATTCTGGAGGTCATTAATAATATAATAACTCTAATACTTAAATGGTGACAAGTTTTAGAATGACCAAAACAACATTTCAGATGTTTTATAATGTGCTCAGCCTGATGGTTTATCCATTTAAACACTTTTTTTTATCATCACATAATCTCTTTTAACAAAATCACATGACCTTTTTTAATGCGCATGCTGGAGTTTGTGCGGTAAAAGTATTTCCATCGTTGTTTATGCACATCTTTTCTTATTGAATAAAAGTTTACCCTACTCAGCTATGCGCATATGTTTTTTATGCAAATTTTTAAAATTTATCCGCATCTTGGCGTTTCCATCAACCGTTTTTATATACGATGCCAAATGCGCATAAAAATAGGTGGATGGACACAGCTATTGTTGACCGAGTGCTCACACAGATTATGTTCACACATGGTAGCTTTTGAAGATGTGTCTCTCAGCAGATTCGTCTGAGCAGATATATTAAGGAATATATGTTGTCAATCACTGTCGCATCTGTTGAGCACAAGAACACTGGCCAATGTAATTTCTATGGAAGAATGCTGGTTTCTTTACATTTTTTAAATTCAGTACAGAAGCCTAACAAACACAGTAAAGTAGTTTTGTAAGTCACTGCACTTTTGTTAAGTGAAAGATTAAGGATTAGATAGTTGATACAAAATTCTCTAAATTTACAACTTGTATTTTTGATGGAATTATACTGAACAGTCTTTCTGTTTTTGTGTTTTATAGGACACAGACTTTGAAAACTCAGAGAGAGACATGGCCAATACTGTCATTGGAATCTACATCGTCAGACCTGAAGGTGCAGAAGCCTGTGACCCACCATCAGATGTTGGACTGATTGTTGAGGGAGTGAAAGTACTTCAGAACCTTGGCGATGTCACCAAGGCTTGTGCTCTTCTTTTGGGAGTCATATACAGCTTGAATCTCAGTTATCCTTCAGAATTGAAATACACTTTTGAGTTTTTCCAGAAAGTCTTGCTGGGACTTGATGCACATAAACTGTCACACAAAATACAAGTTCTCAAGAACAAACTTGTTGGCTGAATCAGTACATCAGTCTGGACAAATGAAAGAAATGGAGGAAGAAGATTTTTTTTGTGTTATTTGATTTGTTTCTGCTTTTAAAATAAGGGGACAGTTTTAATGTTATCTTTGTTGATGGCGCCAAAATTTTAAATGAAGTTCTGCAACTTTAAATGGTTTAATTGTTTGGTTATTTACAAAGATTAGAGGTCAGTTTTAATCTTCTCTACCAATGGTTTAAACGATTTCAGTTATCAAAAATTGAGCACTGTAGCAGTTTATGACATGCTGCCTGTCTTAAACTTTTATTTTCTTTTTCTAAGTAAAATTTATTACACTTTGAAGGCAGTTGCACATTTTAAAATAACATTTTGGTCAATGGTAATCTAGTTAGTAAAGTAGTAGTCATTGTTTTTTTTTTGTTTTGTTTTTTGTCATTTTGAAAAACTTATTTTTGTGGTGGTTTTCATAAATAGAGGCCAGTTGTACTCTTTATCAATAGCTTAAACATTTTAAAATATAAGCAATTGAGCACTGTAGCATTTCGTGATAGGCTACCTGTTTAAATTATTATTACAAATTTTCTTTTGTAAATTTGATCCTATACATTTTTCTTACAATATTTGAAGGAAGTAGCACATTATAAGAATGATCACCATTGACCAAAATGTTGTTTTTACATGTTTTTTCTTTAAACTGTTATTTGAACTGTTTGTGGATGTTTACAAAAATTAAAACAGTTTTAATGTTACTATTGATTGTAAAGATCAAAAATGGAGTTTAGCAGTATTTTAACGTTCCTTTGATTTAATTTTTCTAAGTAAGATTATTTCAAATTCATGAAGCTAGTTGCACTTTAAAAGACCTTGTAAAGAATGTTTACTGTTAAGAATGTAAAATATTTGATGTTTTTGTGTATTTGTTTCAAAGGACCTGTGAAATTGAAATTGTTTATGGGTTTTAGCAGTTGTATGTTGCAAAATCTTGAAATAATAAATAAATTCATTTTGTTTCTAAAAAATATGTTTGATTATTTACGTTTTACATGTGTAGAGCATTTTAAAAATGAATTAAAAAAAGTGTTCACCTTACATAGTGAAAGTTGATAATTCTAACATAACAATATTAAGTAAAATATACATATAACTAAAATGTAGTAATGACACAACTAAATGTGTTGTATGTACTAAGAAATATTTTGTAAACTTTACCTGGATTTATTTTGTTCATTTTACTATATTGTTACTTGTAGAAACTACTTAACATGGTTACGTGGAACCACTTGACACTCTTTTTTTATGTAAGTTCAACAAATAATTTTTTTGAGTGTATGGCAATATCTTATAAAAGAGATCACCATTTCTTTCTTCAGCTGAACTTGATGTTCTCATGCAAAGTTATAGCAAATATGAGCGTATATATTTGAAAAGAAGCAGCCATCAGTGAAGAAGAGACAGATAGCGTGGGAAAACAGCTGCTCAAGTTAATGCCTAATTTCACTTTTTAAGTATTTAAATATTTAAGTATAATAAAATAAGTAATGTAATTTGTGACGTTTATATTTTTTTTCTAAACTTTTTTATACTTTTATTAGTTTTAAATGATTTAACAGTGCACTTGTGTGTCTGCCTTTTTTATTGATCAAGTGATAGAGGTTAATATAACATTTAGAAGGTAAGCAGTACTAAAAATAATTTTTAGAAAGAATAATAATCCCATTAATCTAGTTAAAGTGCATGTCGAAGGTGAATTTAATTAAATTATTTATTAAAAAAAGATAAGCCATTCTCGTACAGTTTTTCTGTGTGTGACTAAAATGTAGGCAATAGCTATGTTTCCATCCAAATATATTACATAAATTTATGTGCAAAACTGGAATATTGCATAAAAGATGCAAATAAAATTCCATCCAACGAGTGAAAGAGAAAAAATCTTCACTTCCTGATTAAACTGGCACCAAATATCAACAGTAAAAACAGAATTTACTGTGGTAGAAGAAGCTGCGTCAATTAATTCTTCATTTAGCCTAATTAATGTACTTGCGCCTCGATGTCAGAAGACAATGCTGAAACACAATGAACACGTGGGGGCATCTGACGCCATGAGACGCGGAGACTCTTGACACGCACCAGATGTTCGGAGGTAATTAATAATATACACTAATACTGAAACAGTTAAGGCATTTTAGACTGACTAAAACAATATTTAATACATGTTACAGTGTGCTCAGCCTGCTGGTTTGTCCATTTACACACATTTTCATTATCATATGATCATGATCTTTTTTTTAATGTACATACTGTAATTTGTTCAGTAAAAGTGTTTCCATCGTAGTTTATGCGCACATTATGCGCACATATGCCCCCCCCCCCCCCCTTCAAAAAATTCATCCTGCACATGCCCTTTGGACGGTCTCTGCACGGGCCTGCCTGGTCTCCAGGTTGGATGACTTAGCAAAGCATTCACTTGATTTATTTAGTGTCACACAAATTGTATTCAGTTTTCCCTTCAAAATTCCATGAACCCATTATATTATTCCTTGGGATTAGCAGTGGTAAGCACATCTTAAAACTTTTTTTTTTTTTAATCTGCAATAGTTGGATTACTGTTTTAACTTTTTGTTGAATAAATGCTGATCCACTATCTGAACTTATCTCAGATGGGATTCCAAATAGGAATAACTTCTCTTGCTAGGAATTTAATTATAGTCTCAGCAATCTGCTCTGCTAAATGCACAGCCTCTACGCATCTACTAAATCTGTCTATGATCACAACATGTAGCTTTTGCTTCTTACTAATTTAATCATATCAACAAAATCCAACACTAAATGCTTAAATGGTCCTTCTCGCACTAGTATGTGTCCTCATGGAGTTGCTGTACCTTTTCTGACATTGTCTTGTGGACACATTTCACATTCTGATAGATAAGGTGACCAAAAACACTGTGGCTTTATCTTTTTAAGGACCTTATTCTTTCACAATGACCAAAACCATGTGCATCTGATGTTAAAATAGTCAAAAGAGGATTCATTAAACTTTCATGTCATCTCCATATTCTTTCTTTTTTAATCTTTGATAGCACTTCTATGTTGCCACGTGTCACTATTATCATATCTCCTATCTCAAGCTTAGGTTAAATTAAAACTGATTATAGCTACTTTACTTTCAGATATTTGCTTGGCATATAAACCTACAGAGTTATTTCCTTTTATGATACAACAAGCTGTTTTTGGGTACATTATAGCTAAAATTAAATCACTGATTTGGCCATAATGTTGGATTGGAGTGTCATCAGTTTTCTTAAATTCTTAAATTTTTTAAATTTCCAGATTGCATCAAAAAGGTAACGGACACCATGTGCATATGCTGAATCAGTATAGATGTTTACCATTTTCCTTTGCCTAAAAGGTAGGCTTTAGTTATTGCCTTAAACTCAGATAATTGTGCAGAGCATGGTTGTTCACAATGCTGTACCACAATTGGAATGAATTCTTTACCTTCTTTTTGAACTACAGCATAACTCACATGTTTTCTTAAACCATCTCTGAAGCAATAACAGTTCACAAATTGATCAAGTTCTGCATTAGATATTTGGTCAGGCTCTAGGTCTTAATCTGTTGAATGCTAACGATTCGGTCATGCATTCTGTGAAGTTCTTTCTCCTTCGAGAGGATATTTCCCTTTTTAATGTCATATCTGGAAAAACCGGTAGTGTCAGATATACTTCTGGCCTGAGTCAGAACAAATCTTCCTTGCTGTATCAATTCAGCTACCTTGTGAAGTGTATAAATAATTAGTCAGTGTGTCCATTGTAATAGCTGATGTTTTCTCATATGCATAGTAAACGGCAGCCAGGCCCTGCTGATAACATGGTGGAGGGCCTTGAGCGACCATATCCAGCTTGGTGCTGTAAAATGTTTTCGCTTACTTTTTCTGGCCATCACACGTATTTTGCATCAGAATTGCAGATGCGATCTTTTGTACCTGCAACATACAGATAAAAAAGGTTTATCATATTCTCGCATGGCAAAAGCAGGGGCTGTCTGTAGTTTCCTTTTAATAATTTCAATGCATCAGTTGACCATACAAGAATTGTTCTTAAATTTTTTCATTAATGCTTGCTTTCTTTATTAATATACATAGTCTATTGCTTAATGGCTGGATTAAGTCCAGTCTGCACTTAATCAAGTCATTCATGTAGACTACCTTCTCATGTGTCCAGGATAATTGCATTCCTAACATATCATAAGAGAGCCTCCTTCGTCTAAATATTTCTGGAGGTATTATCCATTACTTTTTTTATTTGTTCTTAAATCATGCACCAATTGTACTTTAGATTTATTTATCCTTTTTACTAAATGTTTTGATTTATTATAAAACTTAATGTTTCTACAAATGCTTAAAATGTAATTTGCTGTTTTATGAATATACTCATTTAAACTAAACTGAAACAATATAATTCAAATAACAAAGTTATTTAAGCCTTTTTTTATGATCAATCCACCTAAATTTGTAAAAACCAATAAGCTAAGTTAATTTCCCCATTTTGTCCAAACACAAATCAACCCAGCATTTTTACTGTAAAGTTAATCCTTTAATAGCTTTTCCTTTGAGCTTGTTGCTTTAGCTGGTATTGGTATCTTTCTTGATATTTTTGCTTCTAATAAAACATAAAAATAATATTTTATCTTAGTTTAACTGATTTTTACTAGATCTACATCTAAAAGCTTTTCATATAAAGGGTCAAAAATCAAATATAATTATGAGCCATGGTCCAAGGGTTAATATGTATAAACTAAATTACATTGAAGTTGCCATGGGTAATTTCCTAATTTATTTCATAATATTCAAAAATAAATCAAAAACATTACTTTTAATTGTATTAACTAATGCAGTATAACTTTTAAAACCATAATGTATTGCAATAAAACATAATAGTGAACAGTGGAGTTTAACACCACTCAAGCAGAATCTGCCTTTTTCTAGATTTACTCACCAAAATATATGCCTTGTCCTCTATGTATCAGGTGATAGTATGTACATTTAAACTTAATTTGATCAATTTGCAATATTCAATTGAAACATTTAATTTCAGTTAGCATTTAACAATAAAACAAATAAAAGGTTACATTAGACTTAAAATGACAATCTCTAAAGCTTCTCCATCATTCTTCCTCTCTTCTCAGATAGGTTGGTGGGCCAATTCAAAGATTATCATGGGATAACTTTGGCTTGTGGGCCCTAGTTTGGGAATCTCTGTTTTAGACAATGGCATAGCACAATAACTACTGCAGTTACTATTGATATATTTATTGCACTGGATGATAAAAATCATTTGCTGCACTGTTTATAGACTTATCAAAAGCATTTAATTCTGTGGATCAATTTACTTTGTTGCAAAGGCTAAAATGTATAAGTTTCAGTACAAC